TGCTGGGGACAGCCCTCGGGCCATGCTGGGGACAGCCCTCCTGGCCGTGCTGGGGACAGCCCTCCTGGCCGTGCTGGGGACAGCCCTCCGGGCCGTGCTGGGGACAGCCCTCCTGGCCATGCTGGGGACAGCCCTCCTGGCCGTGCTGGGGACAGCCCTCCGGGCCGGGCTGGGGACAGCCCTCGGGCCATGCTGGGGACAGCCCTCCTGGCCGGGCTGGGGACAGCCCTCCGGGCCGTGCTGGGGACAGCCCTCCTGGCCATGCTGGGGACAGCCCTCCGGGCCGGGCTGGGGACAGCCCTCCGGGCCGGGCTGGGGACAGCCCTCCTGGCCGGGCTGGGGACAGCCCTCGGGCCATGCTGGGGACAGCCCTCCTGGCCGTGCTGGGGACAGCCCTCCGGGCCGGGCTGGGGACAGCCCTCCGGGCCGGGCTGGGGACAGCCCTCCTGGCCGTGCTGGGGACAGCCCTCCGGGCCGCGCTGGGGACAGCCCTCCTGGCCGTGCTGGGGACAGCCCTCCTGGCCATGCTGAGCCACCGCCGTGGCGCGGGGGACAAGGACAGGACCTGACACAGCAGTGACAGCTCCATCGCTCTCCCCGGAGCGCGCAAGGAGCGAGTCTCAGCGTCCTTGCTGGACGACCGCGCCTTGGAAGCTCTGCAAGTCTTGACTAGGGACCATTTTCTGATGAGTTTACCTCATTTGGAAGCCCACAGCGCTTTAAAAGCAAGCAAGCAAACAAAAAACCCACAGGAGCTAAAAATTCTGGCCCATCTTGCTACGAATCTGGAGGGTGTTTTTTGTTTGTTTACATTGCAGAGTAATAAAAGCGTAATATAGATTTTGCATTTAGAGAAAAATAAGGGGAATGGGAGCTTAGAAAGGGAGACACGTGTCTGCCTGTCTGTCTGAGCGCAGATGGCCTTGCACTGCAGTCTCGAGGCTCTGAATATGAAAATGAATCACATCAGGCCGCAACATTTCCCAGTGTTTTGAGAGTTCTGCTTTCAACACAGATATGAATGTATGTAGCAATGATCTTTGTTGTCCTGACTTGGGTGATGTCATATTTTTCCATCAGGATACTGGGTGACAGCACATTTGTAGGCTTTGGGCTGAACGTATAACGAGCATGAAATTCCCTTTAATGTCAAAATAAGACCAAAAGAGAAAAAAGAGTGGAAAGGTCATATGGAAAAAACATCCAATAATAAATATGACTTTTGAGGCCGCCTGAGTCTGGCTGTCACCGTGATGAGCCCACCGAGGCAGACACCCCGGCAACATCCCGATAATCTTATTATTTGCATGACATTAGCCATGAGGCCGGGGGGGGGGGAGGGGTGGGGAAGGGGAAGAGGGAAGAAGGCCGCCAAAAGCATCCTGGCGGGCCCGGGCGGGCGGCCGGGCCCCTCCCGGCCGTGCCGGGGGTGCGGCCGCAGCCGGGCGCGGCCCCGCCGCGCTGGGTCGGGGGCTGGGCGCGGCGCGGATTGGCGTGCGCAGCTACTCGCGGCGGTGCGGTAGCGGCGCGCGGGGCCCTGCGGAGCGCGGTAATGATGTCAACTTGTTATTTACTTTCAGCGCCGGTGACGGCGCAGCGCGAAAGGAGAATCAATCAGCCGCCGGGTGACCCGCCAGGCGCAAAAAAAAAACGGGAGCCGGGCGGGGGAGGGGAAGCACATGGAGCCGCGTTGCATCATCCGCCCGGGGGTGGGGGGGACACGGGCGGGACACGGGGACACGCGTGGGACGGCCGCGCTGGAGGCTAAAGAGTCGCAGCGCTGCCGCCCGCGGGCGTCGCGCCCCAGCGAGATGCGATAAAGCCCGTTTGTGCTGATTCACGGCCCGCCCGGCCCCCGCGCCCCGGAGCGCTGACTGGGCACCGCCGCCCGCCCCGCGCCGGGGCAGCGGTGGCGGCGCGGGACGCGCTCCCGCAGCGCCACCCGGCCGGTGCGTCCGCGCCGCTGCGCGGGACGAGCGGGCGCGTCCCGGGCGCCGCAGCGCGCCCCGCGGGGCCCTGCGCGGGCAGCGCCGGCTGCGGCCGCTCGAGCGGGGCCGGCCGCGGGGCCGAGCGTGCGGGGCACGCAGGGCGGCCGCGGGCACCGCGCGGCGGGCCGGCACCGGGGAGCGCGGCGCTGCCCGGCGGGCGGGGGAGGGGAGGACAGGGCTGCCCTCCGTGTGGGTGCCCGGTTTGTCACCGGGTTTCAGTTGCGGAGGGGGTGTCAAAGCACAACACAACCACAGGCGGGGCGAGGGCTGGCGGCACCTCGGGGCATCCCCGGGGGCGTTGGCGGCGGCGCCTCCTCGAGCCGCGCGTCCCGGCGTGCGGGACCGACGCAGGTGGGGGAGGGCGCGGCCGGTTCGCCCCCAGCCGCCCCGGCCCTCCCGGTGCGCCCCATCCCCCGCCGTCCCCTCCCTCGCTCCCGCCCGGTGGCGGCGGCCCCGGGCACGGCTGTGGCTCCCCCTCGGCGCTGCTCCCGCCGCCGCCGCGTGTCCGCACCGGCCCCGCCAGCCCCCCCTCACCGCCATTCCGCCCCAAAACTTTCCGTTTCCCCCATCCCACTCTCCGGGACTTCCTTGTGCCGCCCGTGCGCGCGGAGGGGGGGGAGGAGGCGTGTGCGGCGGCGGCGAGGGGGGATTCGCAGCCTCCTGGCAGGCTGGCCGGGACCCCGGGGGAAGAGGAGTTGCACCATGCGCGGCAAGTGAGGGAAAGTCTCCGCCAGCAGCAGCGCCGCCGCCCCCCGCAGAAGTTGGGGCTCTCCCCGCCCGCGGGAGCGGGAGCTGTGCCTTTAACGCCCGCTGCGCCGCGAGGTGAGTTCTCGAGGCGGATTATTCATCTCGGGGACCCTGTTGTGGTTTCTTTCTCCCCCGTCTTTTTTTTTTTTTAATTTTTTTTAAATTATTTTTTTAATTTCCCCCTTTTCGTAACGCTTGTCCTTCCCGGCGCAGCCCCCGAGCCCAGCCCAGCCCGGGGCCCGCTGCTCCCCGGCGTCCCCTCTGCAGCCTGACCCACCCGGGGGGGAGGGGGTCGCTCAACCGCCGCTTGTTATGACGAAGTTTTTTGAACCCAGAGGTTTTGGGGTCTGTTTGGGGATCTTGGGGGTGTTTTCTTTGGGCCGAGGTGATGTGTGTGCGTGTGGGGCTGCCGTACCCGTGGCGGGTGTTCTGCAGCTGCCCCCGGGCAGAGCGACCCCGGGGCGTGGGAGAGGGGAGCGGGGCAGTTTCTCCCTACTTTTGAGCCAGTATTTTAACGTATGGGGGGTTTATTAAAAACAAAAAATGCTCGGGGAGGGGGAGAGAGAAATGCGAGGTATTCACGCTCCAGTGTGGAGTTTGCAGAGCCTGGGTGGGGGAGGGGATCCCATTCATCGCCAGGGCTTGAATCAGCAGCGGGCGGAGGGGCCGGTCGCTCCCCTGCATCGAAGTTTACTTCCAAGTAGGTAAACAAGTTCTCTCCTCGCCCCCCACCCCGGGCCCAGCCCCCCGGAGCGGCGCTGCCCCGGCCCCGCTGCCAGCGCCGCGGCCGGCGGGGCTGGGTGCGGGGCAGCCCCGGGGCCGGAGCTGCGGGGCCGCCGACCTGTTGCACGTCCCGGGCCGGCGAGCCCTGCCCCGGGGCGGCGGGCGGCCCTGCCCCCGGCGCTGTCACCGGGCCGGGCAGGGTCCCCATTTTGCGGTGCGCGTTCAGTCTGGGCGGTGGGGCTGAGAGATGGGTTCGGTGCGTGGCCGAACGTCGGTGCGGTGCGATGCAAAGGGAATGACCCTTGACCTATTTAATGGTATGTTGCCGGGTTCTCGGGCGGGCATCCTGCACAGCGCAACAAGGGGCAAAAACACCGAGCCACACCCTGAAAGTTCGCCTCGCAGATTAATTCCTCAAAGTCGGCGTTTAGACACATAAAGGCTGCCCTTTATGTGTTGCCTTAACATGCCTCTTCGCTGTTCTCCACGAGGATTCGTACGGCGTTTCTCCCTTCCTGACGCACGAGCCTTGGAGTGTGGATGTGGATGTGTGCGGTGGGGGAGGGGCTCACCCGCCGCCTCCTCCAAAAAAAGAAAATATTGCCACATAATGTTGCAGAAACCTAAAATATTCCATTGAAAAGACTGATTATTTGAAATAAAAGGGAGTGTAAAATGAAAATTTCGGGGCTAGTGTTTTAGGCTAATGTTGTGCCAGAGGGAGACTTGATTGTAGGTAATAAATACAAGGTCTTTACTCTTGACAAATAAAATGTCGTATCTTCCTTCCTTACCCATTTATTAGTGGTCTTTTAACCAAGACTACTCGTGTGGATGTATAAGGTTTAACATCATTTACCTTGTGTACCATGTGACTGCACATACTGGATTTAGGCCTTTCCCTGTCCTGCAGTCAGTGTTCTGTCATGTACAGAGACATTGGGCAGGTTTTGAATTAAATATATCCATTCTGTGATAGCAGATGTTGTTGGCAAAGAGAGCCAGATTTGTACTAGTGTGTGTTTTGGCGTTGTTGTTTTTTTTTTTGTTTTTTTTTTTTTTTTGGCGTTGTTGTTTTTTTTTGTTTTGTTTTGTTTTTTTTTTGGTTTTTTTTGCCTTTTTTTTTAAACAATTACAGATAATAATTGCAACATCTCAACGACAGCAATAGTAAAACATGGAAGCTTTCCCACAGAAGATTTGTAGAGGAGGTGGGAGGAAAAAGGAAAGCAAGAGGGGGAGGATGCTATCACATTAAAAATGCGTTAAAGCTCTCTTGTGCTATATGTAATAATGATAAAAACAGGAGATTTGAGCGGAGCTGCTGTAGTTGTCTCAGTGTTTAACACCTTCAGTGAGCTATGCAATAATCAGCGGCAGGGCAGCCCTGGATGTACAGACTGGGGAATGAGAGGGTGGAAAGGGAAAGGGACCTGGGGGCTTTTGTCATGGCAAGTTGAATGTGACTCAGCAGTGCCCTGGCAGCCAGGGGGGCCAGCCCTGTCCTGGGGGCATCAGGGACAGCAGGGCCAGCTGGGCAGGGGAGCACTGGGATGGCCTCACCTGAGTGCTGGGGCAGTTTTGGGTATACAATATACAAAACACATTCAGCTGTTACAGAGTCTCCAAAGGAGGGCCATGAAGGTGTGAATGGCCTTGAGAGGAAGCAGTATGGGGAGTGGTGGAAGTCCCTCGGCTTATTCATTTTTAAATAGACTGAGTGGAAACTTTATTGCAGTCTACACCTTCCTCATGAGGGGAATCAGAAGGGCAGACACTCTTCTCTGTGGTGACCAGTGACAGGACCCGAGAAAATGGCCTGCAGCTCTGTGTGGGCAAGTTTAGGTTTGATGTTAAGAAAAGGCTCTCCACTCATAGGGTGGTTGGGTACTGGAACAGGTTCCCCAGGGAAGAGATCACAGCACCAAGCCTGATGGGGTTCAGGAAGCATTTGGACAATGCTCTTGGGCACATGGTGCAATTCTTGGGATGTCCAGTGCATGGACTTGATGATCCCTGTGGGCCCCTTCCAACTCAGTATATTCTGTGATTTTAAGGTTGTTTTTTTTTCTCCCTGTAAGATGAAAAAGCATGTCTTAGAAGCAAAGAGGATTAAAAATTGCACGTATATGTAAGCACAGGCTTACATATAGGTAAAATTGCCCTCCTCCATAGTGTTCTCACAGATAGGGTGAGCCTTGCTGACAAGTTAGGGCTGGGAATCCAACTGTCCAGGTTTCTTAGGACATAAAAAAGCCCTTGGGAGATAAGTTGGCATCTGAATATATCTTCCCCCACCCGAGTAAGATGACTCCACTGTTCTCTGCTATGTCACTGCTGTGAGTTATGCTACTGCTTTTTTTTTTTTTTGATTATTGCAGATAGTCTCCACAATAAGTATCTAAAGAGCAAAAATAAGTTAAATCATTGCTAGTGAAGGGGTACCTGGAATTGTCCGATTTCTGCTCCACCAGTTTGCCCAGTTTTCACCAAATTATAGAATATGCTGAGTTAGAAGGGGCCCCACCAGGACTGAGTCCAACTCCTGACCCTGTGCAGGACAGCCTCAAGAATCCCACCATGTTTTGAACTCTTACCAGGCTTGGTGCTGTGATCTCTCCCCTGGGGAAGCTGTTCCAGTACCCAGCCACTCTTAGAGTGAAAAACCTTTGGCTGGTATCTAAGCTAAGCCTCCCCTGATTCAGCTTCGTGCTGTTTTGGTCCTGTCACTGACTGTTGGATGGGCTTTTCTCATTTTCGTGATGACGGGGACCAGACGTAGACGTGCTGTCCGCTTGGTATGTCCAGTGTGCCATGGCTCCTGGAAGAGCTTCCTGAATGGAGAGTTGTCCTCTGGCAGCAGCAGCTGTTGAAGGCCTGCCATCCCTTTGCCTGGAAGGAGCAGAGAAGAATGTCTCTCAGTGTGGATGGGATCTTATTTCTCAGTAGCTGAGAGAAGTCACAGTGTGATATGCTTGGGATTGAGCGATGTGCTCGGTTTGGTTCTCTGTGGAGATGAGGCTGGAAAAGCCATCCCAGGGTTTAGGTTTAGGTTGCTGCGTGATTGCTGCAGGTAGCGGGGTCGCTGCACACTTCAGTGCCGCTACCTCTTGCTTTTTGCTGCTGCTAGGAGTCCACAGCAAGAATTCATCTTGTATCAAACTGATGCTGTTTGTATTTTAGTAGTGCCAAGGGGCCCCCATTCAAATCAGGGTCATTTGGGGAATATTACAGACGGTGGTTCTCACCCTAAACAGGTTGTAATGTGAGTGAGGGAAACAAAAAGCCAGGAGGGTAAATGCTGGAAAAAACTGACTCAGGGGAACGGCAGCTGATTGTAGTGCTTTATCTGCTCGACCACGGTGTGATCTCAGCTGGTAGGAGAGAGGAGAGTTGTTAACACCTGGCAGCACTGCTGCTGGTAAATCTGTCTGCTCTGCCCAAAGAGGGGTGGGCGCATAACGTGATCCATATCCTGGATTCCCTTTACTACTGATCTTTTAATTCCTAATATTTTAGATTATGTACACCAGCTTGCTTATGAAGTGATCCAGGCTTTGTGACTCTTGGGACAGCTTCTTTTTTTTTTTTTATAATCTTCATTATGAGGCAAGATGGAAGTAATTTTGTAAACTCCTTTTTCAGCTGCTAAATTAAAACTACACTCCCTCTTCCCCTCCCTCATCTTGCCTATTTTTAGTTAGGAGGAAATAGCTGACCTCTTTACAGCAAGAACCCAGACCCCCTGGGTGCCATTTATAGGTTTCTACCAAATGGCCTACTTGGACAAGTTGGTTGAAATTAAACAAAAACATTGGAACTACCGCTGTACATAGGAATAGCAGCTTTCCTGTCAGTACAAAATCTGTCATTTTAATGATACTGAAACAAGCTTACAAAGGTGAAAAATACAATTTAGGTTATTTTTCTTCAGTATACAAGGGAATATTTTATAGGCCTTTTTTTGTGCTCTCTGATCATTAATATAATGGAATTTCGTTTAAGGATGACTGATAGTGTTTTGTTTTACAGTCACAGGAAGTCTCCCAAAGTTAGAGCTGTGTAAAAGCTAGAAGCAGTCAAAAAAGGTTGTTCATTAAGAAAACATCATAATTTCTTACCAGTTGTCTTCGTGTGTAGAGATTTTGTCCTAGACAGAGATCTATAAATTATAGTTATTAATGTTTAGTAATTCTGTAGAAATATAAATTTGCTTCTGCTAACTTAACCAAAAGCAAGTTTAACTCCACAGTGGATATATGACAGTTTTTGAAGGTAAAGGTGCCACAGGCCTTTTACGCTGCTTTTCTTGAGCCACTTTTCCTATGTGTATTTGTATTTATTTTAAGTGA